TATGGGTTTCTGCATTATCTGCTATTCTGTTCTACCGTGCATCCCTGCCCATATACAGGGCAGCTAACATTTTCCAGGCATAGCTCCCATTGCCTTTGTATCGTAGCCACATAGGGTCATGCTGGAAACAGAGACTGGGTTCTTTGAGGAAAACTCTGCATTCTCAGTAGCGTGCAGAACACCTTTTTCTTTTCCTGTACAGCATTCACAGGCAAATTGAGGAAATTGTGGAAATTGAATCCCTTTTTTTTATCCCAGTTGAATGCTCTCGGAAGGGAGTAATCTTAAGCTATATTTTGTAATTGTTTTGTGTTAAGTCATAGCCCCCTCACCCACCACATTTACAGCTCACTGACCTTATAGCACATTGATTTTCTGCTTGGTTTTCCACAGTGCCTGTTAGCTGCTTCCATGGACACATAGATGTCATGTTGAAACAGAACAATACTATCTTAGTTGACACAATGCTGGGGAAAGTTCCTTTTCCTCCAAAATTTAGTGTTAATGATTTTGGAGCTTTCAAAGTTACTCTCAGCTAAGTAGAATACCAATATGGCATTTAATTGGGGTTATAGTATTTAAGTAACATGATAATTAAGCTTCAGAGGGGTAGCTGAATTAGTCTGTACAGGATAAACTAAAAAAAACAACAAATAGTCTGGTAGCACTTTAAAGACTAACAGATGGTATCATGAGCTTTCATGGGCACAGCCCACTTCTTCAGATGACTGTTCATACCACTTTTTCCATTTCTGTTTCCTATTGCCTCCTAAGTTTGCAGGCTCACTTGCCACGCCCAAAATCTATTGTACACTTGTCTTTCTGTTTGGTACAAGAAGAATGTCAAGAGCCCTAAATATATTTGGGTCATCTTTCACAATCTGCTCTTACATGGGCAAAGGTAGTGTGGGATTTTTAAATCATGTTAGCCTAGTTGAATTAGCTTAATGTGATTGAAAAAAGCTTCTTAATGCTCATTTAAGATGCAGGCTGATATGTCTGAAAGCATGTTCCATAACCGGCTTGTGTCCATGTTCAAGGCTAGGTTATAACACAGCCAGCTAACATGCCTCTCTTAGTCTGTTTTAACTCTTTGGTGTTCACACCTCCACATCAGCTGCTAGAAGTGGGCCACATCCTCCCAGACTGAATTGACCTCATTATCTCTGGCCTTCCTCTTGATTTGTACTCCTTTCTTTTCACGTGCTTGTAAATGTATACCTGCCTCTGGAATTTCCAGTACATGCATCTGATGAAGTGGGTCTTTGCCCATGAAAGCTTATGCTTCAATAAATCTGTTAGTATATAAGGTCGGTGCCACAGGACTTCTCGTTTTAACTTTTACTGACTTGATTCAAAATTGCACCTTTTCTGCTTATCAAGATGTGACCAAACAAACAAACTTTTATACCTATTCTTCATCTTGTTATAACCTAACCTTAAAATTTACTAGATTGCTGTCTGCAGATCTACTTGATTTGAAGTTGTTATAAGCCAGTCATGTGACTGACATTTATTTTCACTTCTTAATGAATGTATACCAAATTCTACACCTGAATAAATCTTTGGTAATTATGATTTTCCCAAACTGAATTTTGGAAATGTGTGGTAAATCTGCATGAACTAAAAACCCCACTGTTGATCAGTGTTCCCTCTAACATTTTCTATCCTTGGGTGGGTTGAATTTTCTTATGTGCACCACCAATATTGAGGTACTGTGTCGATGTACACCACCAATACAAACAAAACACACAGTGTGTGTATGTACACACACACACACACACACACACACACCGTATATACATATATGTACAGAAGGCCCCCAACTTGTGATTCTGTTGGTTCTGCAAGAAGCGTCGCAAGTCAGAGGTATCGTAACTCGAACCCTCATTAATGATAGGCATGGTGTCATCATAAATGTGGGCCAAGGAGATAAGTCGGGGTTTTCCAGCTCCTTCGGCACTTACAAAAATGGTTGTAAGTGTGGGGGGGTCGGAACTCGGGTGGTTGCAAGTAGGGACTCCTGTAAATATTTTAAGCAGTCCATATGTGTGGAATACAATATAATTTAAACAATATATTAAAACAAGACACCTGTGACTAGTTGCTGTGAGGTACATTACCCCTTTCTCTAGGTCATTTATAAATAAGTTGAATAGCAGTGGTCCCAGGACAGACCTTTGGGGGACACCACTAGTTATCTCTCTCCATTCTGAAAACTTACTATTTAATCCTGCCCTTTGTTTCCTGTCTTTTTAACCAGTTACCATCCATGAAAGAACCTTCCCTCTTATCCCATGACAACTTACTTTACTTAAGAGCCTTTGGTGTGGGACCTTGTCAAAGGTTTTCTTGTCAAAGGCTTTCTGGAAATCTAAGTACACAATATCCACTGGACCCCGCCCCTTTCTCCACGTGCTTGTTGATCTCAAAGAATTCTAGCGGATTAATGAGGAATGATTTCCATTTACAGAAACCATGTTGACTTTTCCCCAACAAATTATGTTCATGTGTATCTGACAGTTCTGTTCTTTACTATAGTGTCAACTAGTTTGCTCGGTACTGTTGTTAGACTTACTGGTCTGTAATTGCCAGGATCACCTCTAGAGCTCCTTTTAAATATTGGCATCACATTAGCTATTTTCCAGTCATTAGGTAATGAAGCTGATTTAAAGGCTAGGTTACAAACCACAGTTAATAGTTCTGCAATTTCACATTGGAGTTCTTTCAGAACTCTTGGGTCAATGACATCTGGTGCTGGTGACTTGTTACTGTTAAGTTTATCAATTTGTTCCAAAACCTCTAATGACAGCCTCTGTACCCTACATATCCCATGCAGCCAGCATCGTTACCTACCTCTTCACAGCCTAGGATCATTGAACAGACTGCTGGGTCTCTCTCTCTCTCCAACAGTTGGGACTTTCCCCCAAGCCAATTAATTACTTCCTCTCTCCTCCCAGATGCTCATTTTCTGCCTATTTCGGCTAACTATCTTCTGTTTATGGAGACCCCGTCCCTGCCAATGATCTCCATGCCTGCACAGCGAGCTTTGAACCTCTGTGCGGGGTTCAGAATATAGCCGCGCTTCTGCTCAGCCCCGGAGCTTACAGGGAATTTTCTTGTTGACCCAATACATCGAATCCTGCATTGCCTGAAAGCGAGTTGGCTGTGACCAAGAGGTTTTTGATCAGTGTTTCCTATAAGCTGTGTACTTGTGCAGCCACTCATGTGAGATTCAAATGTTATCCAGCTTATTGACGGAGTGCCCACAGCTAGATTTTTTTGTTTCTGTTGGTGGTATTCATTTGCACATGCCTTGGTGCATATAAAAAATCTAGTCTGCATATGGATGGAAAAGATTAGAAGGGACATTGGTTATGATCCTTGCACTTTAACACTTTTCTACTGAATTTGACTAACTTTCTTTTGCACCCACCCTTCGGAGATGGTGTTGAGTTTGGCTGTTTATAATGGGACCAGCAGCTAACTATTTATGCCTCTTGAAATTCTGAAATAAAATATAATGTGAAATTTCCTTTCATAAACTCTACCTAATATGACTAGCTGAAAGATTAAGTATGCATTGGGCAATTGGTTTTTCTTGCATTCCATATTTTTAATTGCTTGAATATATAATCAGCTCAAAGTACATTTCTTGTACCATGATAAATTTTAACATAAAGGTTTATTTCCAGATGGAGCAGCATCGGAACATCTTTTCAGCTATCTTATAATTTAAATTATCGCACTGCTACCAAAACCTTTCTCCATATGAAATTAAGCTTAGAATACATTATGTAACCATGTGGTTATTTTATCTGTGAATCTCAAAGTAACTCTTTAAAAGTGCCAAGTTCTCAGGAGAATCCTTAAGATTATGCCACTAGGTCAACATCTTTCAACAATTTTTTAATGTAGATAAACATTAAAATATACCATTTCAGAACAAAACACATTTAAACTTTAATTGAACAATAATTTAAGAATCACATTTCATGTTTATATCTGGCATGAAAATCTGAGCAGATGACACTGGTTCCTTTGTTGACAAAAGGTGGTGATGCAGAATCATCAACATTATTAATATAACTTGAAGGAATTACATTCTTGAGTTGAAGAAAGTGTCCCAAGTGAACCATGAAAGAGAGTGCTCATTGTCCACATGTATTCTGCATGGTCATTTAGTAAACTTTAGCTCAAGTTTAAATCTGCTGTGGTACTGACATGCATTTTTAATATATATTTTTGGTGGAGGGGAAAACAAATTCATACCCTGGATATTAATTGGATGGTCACCTGTCATTGACTTGCTTTGTGACCGTAAGAAAGTCATTTTTTTCCAGTTTCCCTGCTTGTAAAAGTGTGCTAATAATACTTGTAGTCTCCATAAGGCTGTTCTGAAGATTCATTATACAAAATCTGTAGTGTACTTAGAGCTCAGCAGATTAAAGAGGTCACTTATATGTATGGTTTGCTGTGTGAACTTGAACAAGTCAGTTTTCCTCTCTTTGCCTCAAATTCTTCATGGGTAAATTGGTTGTAATTGTTTTTACCCACCTTTGTGGAACATTTTGAGGTGTATAGATAAGAAGAGCTCTGCAAGTGTTAAGTCTTAATATTAATTTATTTTTTATAATTGAAAACTTCTTTTTTCTCTAATAACTACATTCTAAGTAGAATATCATTTTCATCTGAATCACATTTACATGCTTTTTTGATCATTTAATTGTTTTTATTTTAATTTCTGTCAAATAGACTTTCACTGCAAAATTACAAATCAGTGGGTTTCATAATACATATAAATAAAACTGATTCCAGTTGGTTTTAATTTAGGAATTAGTAGGGGTTACTATGAATGACAAATAGACCATATGGACTTACTTGAGCAGGCCCTAGAATGGAGGCTGCTGAGTGTCTGACTCACTTATTGATGTTCATAATTTCCATTCAATCATAAATGTACAGCTGTCCATGATATTATTGCATGTACTGTATTTCAGGAAAAGCAGAGATTTCTGACAGATGTCCTACATGAAGTAATGCTGCTCGACGGCTTGGCCAGTTCACATCCAGTCTCACAAGAGGTGCTACGAGCCACAGACATTGACAGGGTGTTTGATTGGATCGCCTATAAAAAGGTGGGAATAGTGGATATCTCAGTAGTAGCGTTAGGAGAACATGTTATATTTATAAAGTTTATACACTCTTGGAGAATTGCAAACTCCACAGAAATTACTAGATAGAAAACCAAAGATAATGTGGGATATATTTGGGATTACAGATTCCTTTGTGACATTAGTTGACTTATACACCTTCTTTGTTAGCAAATTATATAAATACAGCTGTGAGGTTTTCCGAATTCTACAATACCAAATGATTAGTAAGTATATTACTGAGATTGTTGCAGAGTCCAAATTGAAGGAGGCATTTTAAAAGTGCAGAGAAAGGCTCATTCCCTGTCCTAATTTGAATTTAGAGAAAACTCTTTAGTTCTCTTTAATTTCTACCGAAATAAATGGGATGTTTTCATTGTTTAACTTACGGGGAAAATTTGCATTTTTGAGTTAAATCTCTGTGAGAGGTCACCTCTATTAAAGAGAGGTTGTGGAATCGCCATCTCTGGAGATATGTAAGAGTAGGTTAGACAGACATCTATCTGGGGTGGTCTAGAGATGGTATTGGGTCTTGCCATGAGAGCAGGGGACTGGACTCAATGACTTCTCGAGGTCCCTTCCAGTTCTAGTGTTCTGTGAGACTATGATTCATTGAGAAGAAGGAAGCTGGCAAGTGTGGAATGATGAGAAAATATATATTGAAATCAGGGACAGCCTTTATGTTTGGAAAGAAGATAGAGAGAGGGTTTTGCATACTTTGGGCATTGGAAATAGAATTGGCACTGTAGTCAAGATCATCTGGAGTGGTAGATATGCTGGAGGGTAGAGAGAGAGTCTAGAGTGGCCTAAACAAATTAGAGGATTGGGCCAAAAGAAATATAATGAGGTTCAACAAGAACAAGTGCAGAGTCCTGCATTCACAACGCAAGAATCCCATGCACTGCTACAGGCTAGGGACTGACTGGCTAAGAGGCAGTTCTGCAGAAAAAGAGCTGGAGATTACAACAGACGAGAAGCTGGATATGAGTTAAGAGTATGCCCTTTTTTCCAAGAAGGCTAATGGCATACTGGGGTTCATTAGCAGAAGCATTGCCAGCACATCAAGTGAAGTGATTATTCCCCTCTCTTCAGCACTGGTGAGGCCAAATCTGGAGTATTTTGTTAATCTTTGCCCCTTCCCCCCAATACAGAAAGGATGTCGGCACACTGGAGTGAGTATAGTAGAGGGAAATTAAAATGATTAAGTGGTTGAGGCACATGACTTAGGAGAGAACTGGGTTTATTTAGTCTTCAGAAGAGAAGAATGAGGAGCCTTCAACTACCTGTTCCAAAGAGGATGGAGACAGGCTATTCTCAGTATTTGCAAATGACGAAACAAGGCAAAATTGTCTCAAGTAGCAGTGGGGGAGATCTAGGTTGGATAATAGGAAAAACTACTTCACTAGGAGGATGTGGTACCTAGGGGGATGGTGGAATCTCTTCCTTAGAGGGTTTTAAGGCCAGACGTGACAATGCCCTGTCTGGAATGATTTATTGGGGTTAGTTCTGCTTCGAGCAGGGAGTTTGACTGGATGATCTCCTGAGGTCCCAGCCATTGGGACCTGTGGGAAGTAGTGCAGGCTTCTTGCAGCTCCCATTGGCCAGGAATGGTGAACCATGGCCCCTGGGAGTTGTTAGTGGCCATGACTGTGGACACTCAGGTAAACAAATTGTCTAGCGGCCTGCAAGTGGCTATCCCTGAGAAACTGCATATGGTTAGGTCACTGGAGTTTCTCTACTGCTGGAAATGAATATTTCAGGGATATCACCTTTTTGTGTTTATAGTATTATGTTTACTGTACATTTAAGAGCATATTTTGGTACATCATTTAATGCAACAGAAAGCAACTGGGAAATTTTGCCCTCAGTTACATAGACACAGTTTCTTTGACTTCAGTGGGGGGTTGCATCCAAGATCTAAGGACTGGATTCTTCTTTGAATATCTTTAACAGAACAGTAAACAATTTATGCATCACTGATTCGCCTATATCTCATTAAATGAATTTGACAAAGTTTATATCCTGTTTTCGTGTCTTGATAAAAATGATGTTTTTCTCCATTAATATTAGATGAGGTATGCAAAACAAAAACAGTTCTAATTAAAAAAACAGATAAGCTTTTTAGTTCAGGTATGAAATACTGAAGATATATAACACAATATATATAGCTTACAACTTTAGACTATTTTTAGTCAGACATCAAATGAAGGTAGAAACTTACAACTATGGAATTATAAAGTGCCAAGTGATAATAACACTTCTAAATGTTTGTAAATAAAATAAAAATAATCTCTTTCTGTCTCCTAACTCTATGAATTGAGTAGCCATATAGAGTGAGTATATTTTTACAGAGTACCATTAGGCCAATTAATACAGAAACGATATTGTTTTGAATAATCACATAGCTATCAGTTCATGTATTTCATGTAAATGTTTACAATTTAATAGGTGCTTTGTAAACAAAATTTTCATGGAAAGTATGATCTTAGACACATTGTAAAGAATGTGAATTTCTCAACCAATTCATATTCTGGTCAAAAAATTTTTTTGACCAATAAAAGAGGAACCATCTACTGGAGATTCAACAAAGAAAGTCACTTCACTGATGCTCGTCTCATTTTCTAAAGCCACCTTTCCCTCTGGGCTGCTAGGTGCATGATGTCAGATTCTGACTGCACCCTATGCCTCCTGTTGAGGAGCCAAACTACCAGAGGGTGTTTTCATTATCATATTGTGAAAATAC